CCTTGATGAGAGATGACCAAACGACGTCGTTTGGTTCTGGCTTTGAATTGAACCGGACAGGCTGTTTTGGATTGGGCTGGGGGGGGGAGAATTAATTCACTTGGGCCTGGATTTTAATCCAGGTCCAATTTCCTTTCAAAATTTATATATATTTTCTAATTTTATTTAAATTATAAAAAATACTAATAAAAATTATAAAACATTTTTTAACCTTACACAAAAATATTAATTACTTCATAACAATTATTTAACACATAGTCAAAACATTAATCACACAGTGGAACATTAAAAATAGAACAAAATGCATATTTTTGTGATTTTATTTAAATTAACTTAATTAAATGCATACTTAAATCCTAAATATACATGAAACATGTATTTTTATTTTAATTTTGTCTAATTATAACAAAGCAAATATTTTACGGACAAAACACAGACAATTAATAAACGCAACACAAATTCTGAAATTGCACACTAAAAGAAATTAGTTTTATTTTTAATTTATTTGGGAGTAGTTTTCGTGAGGCAAAAATCACGTGCTCACAGGTGTATGTAACTCCCCTGCGACCTTTTACAACATGCACTGCAAGGCATGACAAGAACCACGACCAAGCATCTTTTGGCTCCATATCGATAATTTCAAATGCTAATGAGAATATTTGCCCATTTGCATTTGCAGTCACAATAATTAACATCTTTAATTCGTACTTTTCATAAATGTGAGTGTCGTTAATGGATATAACAGGTCTGCAACTCTTAAATTTTTTTTATACAAAGTTTAAATGCTCCAAAAATATAATTAAAGATATTTATCTCCGCCGTTGACTGATCTGTATGTACTCATTCCACCACAGTTCCTAGATTAAAATGCTTGAGTGCATTCATATACATAAGAAGCTAGGCAAATGACTCATCAAAGTCACCATATATTATCTTGAATGCACTCCTTTGACCGAGCCAAGCATTTTTGTATGACGGAGTGTGTGAAACTACAACCTTGACTGTAGTATGCACCTCTTTAAGCTTGAACTGAGGATTGTTCCTAACATAAGGTAATAACAAAGAAACAATAAGGTTGGTATCCAATTTATAATGATCCTCTGGAATTACACCAATCAGACATATGTGCTTGCCATAGATTTTTCAGTTGCCCATAAATTGATTTGAGTTTTCCTGCCTCTAAGCATCTACTTGCATCCGGAATCCCACCTCCTACAATGAAAGGTCCAATAATTATTTTTTTCTTCCCATACCAGAAACTTCCTATTTGCCCGCAAGCTTCATAGTTTCGCAACAGTTTTCAGTCTCTCCTTGGTAGAGAACAACATTTCAGACTCAAGAACAGTTGCATTATCATCCATCCAAATTTTGCAACAAACACCTTCTAATTCATATGTAGATGCAGACACCTCTGGATTCCCCTGAGTATCATATACAAATAGAATATTCTCCCTTTGAAATGGTTGTGTATGTTGTACATCATCAACTTGTGGTTGGTTATCATCGTCAACATTTTGATCAGAACTAGAGTCATCAACCTCATCTGACACATATGCGTCGTTCGAGGCATCACCGACAGAATAATCACCCCTTCATCGACATGAGCATCAGCTTCAACACGAGCCAATATATCTGAAAATATTAAAATTTGTGGGATTTCATTATTCTCCAGTGTGTTGGTTGCATTGCTTGTTCCTACACCATCTCTAAACGGTGTGCCCAAACTAGTACAACCATGGCCATAGCTACTAGGTGTTGGTTCAATTTATGGTATTATACTTTGTTATAAGAACCGTGTAAAACTATTAAATTCTGAATAACTACCCAGTGAATCAGTACATGACACATAAGCTTCGGAAGAAAGTTCATTAAGATTAAAAGATGGCACATTAGAAAGCAGATGACTCGTGAAAAATATTTGTAGGCTCAACAACCTCCAATAATTCAGTTTTAATAAACATCTCAAGCACATCAAAATTCATCATATGTCTTAATCTATCAGGTGCCCTCAAAAAATCTTGTAATGACTTACTATTTATAGGAATTTCTATATATTGAGCAATACACTGTGTGGTCTGATATGGCCACCTACCAGAGATAACAAGCGTTACCTCGTTAGGCTTGGCATACATCCTAGTATTCAAGTTCCTAACTGGCCACTCATACTTAACATTAAATAGAAGTTTGACAATGGCATGAGCACCACAACTATATCTAACTGTGTCAGTTTCATAAATTATCTCACCGCCCTAGTACATCGCAACCCTTACACGTTGATCAGTTGACATTTTAAAACCTACAGAAAGTAGCAATTATAATCAATAAATAATACCAATATTTGGCAATTATATTACAAAAAATGAAAATAATACTAACCTTTTAACAAACTTCGGTATATTCAAACACACCATGCTCACCGTGAAATAATATCAGTATATGTAGAATCCAAATGCATGTATTCTAGCATTTGTTTTCAACAAAAAACACATTTTAATACGCAAACCTTTCATTTTTCACAAAATGCGCAATATGACAATGAGTCTTCCGTAAAGCAGTAGCATCAGAAGTCAAATCGGCGTCATAATTTTTAATTCAATTGAAGGCGCGTCACCCTATTGAGCCTTCTGTGTAAAAAAAATATAAGGAAGGCGCGTCCGTTAATCACACCTTTAATTGATTTTAAAAGTTACACTGAAGGTGCAATTACTGAACGCGCCTTCTTCACAAATTACACTTAACGGTCTGTCTGTTTGGACAAGAGGGGTTGCTCTGATGGTAAGCAACCCCCACTTCCAACCAAGAGGTTGTGAGTTCGAGTCACCTCAAGAGCAAGGTGGGGAATTCTTGGTGGGAAGGATGCCGATGGTCTATTTGGAAACAGCCTCGCTACCCATGGTAGGGGTAAGGTCTGCGTTCACACTACCCTCTCCCGACCCCACTAGTGAAATTATACTGGGTTGTTGTTGTTGTTGTTAGTCCGTCTGTTTGGGAACATTAATATTACAAGAAGAAGGCTCGTTTGTGTTGCGCGCCTTAACCATTGATGGAAAAAGAATTATGACAAACTCATTTATTGGAGTGGTGCTCCATTGCTCACCATTTAAGTCTAGCCTTCTAAAATAAACATGGCAAGGACACACAATTATCAAATTTTATCCCAAAATGATCTAAATATGCATGTTCAATCTGATATTGTTAACCGTGGAGGAACTTTTTTTGGAACTTTACAACATTTATGGAGGTGGCAAATGTACTATTTTAAGGGTACAATGGGAAAAAATTTAATTAACTATATTGGTTTTGTAAATTGACAAGTAATTTGGGATAGATATTTTTAAGGCCAAACCCATAAGCAGCCTCTTTAAGTTGGCCCCGATTTTTATTTTGGCACCTCAACTCAGACCTGTTCTATTTTGACACTCTAACCCCTTATCTCATGTGCCATTTAAACACAAAATACTGACCTATGCTTATGACTCAGGCGCGTGTTCATAACCACTGCCAACGTATAAAGAGATTTATTATCCACGTAATTCCATCCCAATAAATCTCAACCCGTGCCCGTTAAAAAAATCCGGACCCGATAAAAAATAACATCACCCAATTTCAGTAAATAAACCTTTTCATCTTTTACCTAATTCTCAAAAGTCACCGTTCTTCTGTCACCCGTTAACCAAAATCACAAGCCCTAGGAGATGAAACCATGAATTCTTAGTGTTGCTCCTTTTGTTTGAAGGCTGGATAATTGAAATTTCAGTCTTGGTCCTTTCGAAATTTCATCACGTTCTTACAGTGGATCGATTCTTACAGTGTATCGGTTCTTACAGTGTTGGTCCTTCATGTTCTTGCTTTAAAATACTGGTAAGTGTCCATTTACCTACTTTAATATTACTTTTGTAGTTTATTTTGGGCATTGTTGTTATAATGATGTTTTTGAAATTTTCAGATGGAAATTTAGGGTTTTCATTTGCTGTTTTCGAATCTTCTAACTTTTGTCTTTCTTTTCATTTATTCCTTTTCATTGTAGGTAAAATCGAAGACATGTCAGAATATATTCTTTTTCGTTTTCACCACGGTGGAGTTTTTATCGAAGCTCCTGTCACTAAATACGTTGGTGAAAGTGAGGTAAAAGAGTTTTCTATAGATAAGGACCACTTATCCTTTTTTGAGCTTGAGTATTATACTAGAAGTATGGGGTATATTTCTGTTAGGGGCTTTTATGTATTTAACTCTAGGTCAGAAAAGTTTGTACTAATTGAAAATGATGAACAATTGTATAATATTGGCTGTCATTGTAAAGAGGGAGTATTATACTTATTTGTTTGTCATCTTATTGATTACCCTCATGTGGAGGTGGTCCCAACTACTCTTATCTGTGAGCCACAAGTGGTTGAAAGTCAGTCTAGGGCAACTTTAGATGGTGATTTAGCTGGTATAATTGCAGAAAACTATGCTGAATATTCTGTAGAGGCTGTAGTAAATACAACTATAGAAAACACTCAAGCTGAAAATGGTGAGACTGATTTAGATGCTGCTGGTGAAAATACAGATCTGAATTTATCAGATTTGTTCTCTGGTGACAGTTATTTAGATGATATACCTGAGCAAGATGATAGTGAGTTAGATGAGAAGTTAATAGCAATAAGGAATGAAAGAAGGATGAAGATTTTGGAGAAAGAAAAGCTAAAGAAGAAGAAGAAACTTACTCCAACTGAGGAAGTTGAGCTAGGGGAAGCTGAAGTAGACATAGGTTTTGATGATATTGAAAGGCCAAGTAAGAGAGACAAGTATGCTAGAAAATTGGGGGGGGGGGGGGGGGGGGGATGAGGATTACTATGATAGTAGTGATATAGGAAGTGATGATAGTCACGATGAGCTAAATGTGCTACTATATGTGAAATATTTAATTCTTGGATAGTAGAACCTAACCATAAGTCAATTATATCTATGTTAAAAGAAATAAGGTGCAAAATCATGACTATGCATGTTGATATGAGGAGATTTGCTGAGACATGGATAACAGATATATCCCCAATAGCAAGAATGTCATTAGAAGAAGATAAAGATACCTCTAAGAGGTGTAAAGTTCTTTGGAATGGGGATAATGGATGTGAGATTAGTGATGGTGATATTAAACATGTTGTTGATCTAAGATGGAAGACTTGCACTTATAGAACCTGGATGTTAAGAGGAATTCCTTGTCCTCATGCTATCTGCATTATATCATAAAGAAAAAAATCCAGATGAGTTGGTTGAGCATTGGTACAGGAAGTCCATCTTCATGAAAGCTTACCAATATTCTATACAACCTATGCCCAATATGAAGATGTGGCCAGAATCAGAAAATCCTTAAATTGAGCCACCTAAACCAAAACCAATGCCAGGGAGACCTAAAAGGTGTAGGATAAGAGCAAAGGATGAGCTAAGAAAAAAATTTGGCAAGTTATCAAAGAAAGGAGTAAAGATGACTTGCTCAAAATGTCACCAGTTGGGTCATAACAAATCTGCTTGCAAATATGAGGTAAGACAAATTTATTTTGTGTCCTTTTTAGCATTCTCTAATGCACACTAACTATTGTATATCCTTTTAGCCTACAATGAGAGATACAACTCAAAGAAGTCAGCCAATTGAAAGGAGTCAGCCAACTACTACTGCAACAACCATGCATAGAACTCCATCTTCAATTTGTGAAGACACATCTGCTGTAAGAAGAAGCGGTCTCATAGTCAGTCTACATCAAGAGGAAGAGGCAGAGGTCTAGGCCTAGGAAGGGGATATTTTAGATTTGCTGACACTGCTATTGAAGGAAGGGGTACTAGCAATGTAAGCTCAAACATACAACAAGCACATGAAACTCAACAGGCAGCAAGGTATAAAAGGCCTAGACAGTCAGGTTTTGGCATTTATCAAGACACAATGACTGGAAGAAGCATATTGAATGTAAGCTGGTGCACCTTTCTAAAAGAGGCCTATACCTCTGTTTCTTTCTTTTATATATCAATTGCTAATTTTATTATTTTGCAGCCTGGTGCACCTTCTGAAAGAGTGCATATGGTACATTTAGAGATGCATCTGCAACAAACATTGATATTGGATTTAAGCCTAATGGTCTAAAATGGAAAGGAAAAAGAGCAGTTACAACAACCCAACTTCAAAGGATGAGTGCAAATCGAAGGACTTCAAGTCAACCAAAGGAGTGCAACTAGGAATCCCAGCTTTAGAAGTCTTTTGTTTATGTCGTAGGACTAGTTACGCCAAGGTTGTTGAATCTTTTGTGTAATATTTTTTGGTATTGAATATGTAAGACCCTGTTGGTGTTTTTTGGTATTGGTATTGGATATGTTATTTTTGTATTGGTATTGTTATTTTGGTATTGGTATTTTAGTTTCAGTGATGTTACTTTAGTTTAAGGTTGGAATTCTGTTTCCAGTTGCAATTGTTCTGTTTCTATTCTATTCTGTTATGTTCTGTTCTATTTTAAGATGATGAATTACGCTTCCGTGAAGTTGATTAAAAGTAAAGTCCATTAGCTTATTTCCAGTTGCAAGCAGATATGTTATTCCAGTTGCAAGCAGATTTGATGAATTATGTTTCTGTTATGTTCTGTTCTGTTTTAAGGTTTGGAATCATTCTGCTTCTGTTCTGTTTCTGGTATTTTTCTCATGTTTCAATTGCAATTTTATTGTATATTTCTGCAATTCTGTTGTGCAAAATCTATAGGAATTCTGTTGTGCAAATTTTGTTGGAACTCTACTACAGTTTGCAAAACACAAAAATCAGTACATATACAACGGAACAAAGGAACAAATTTTGTTGGAACAAAATCAGTACATATACAAAAGAACAAATTCTACTTGCTACTGAAATTTAAGCAGTACATATACAAAGGAACAACCATAATCAGTACATATACAAAAGAACAAATTCTACTTGCTACTGAAATTTAAGCAGTACATATACAAAGGAACAACCATAATCAGTACATATACAAAGGAACAACCATAATCAGTACATATACAAAGGAACAACAATCTTCAACATAAATCCACCCAAAAACATTCCCATAATCAGTACATAAAATCCACCAAAAACTAACATTCATACTACCATCTTCAACAAAATGAAGGAACAACCAAACAATTCCATGCGATGAACACAACTACACACACAAAAATTTACTTCTTCCTTGCCCGAGCCAATTTTGCATCATTTTCTTTGACCCTTTTCAGTAAACCATTAATGGTCCTCTTCCCTTGATCGGAAAAATCTTCGTCATACCATCTAAAGTACTCGCAAGCACCTCAATCCTTCAAAACAAGATAAAACAGATTTTTTTTAACAAATTGAAACCAAGAATTTATGAGATTTAAGTGCAAATAGATGGCCGACTTACTTTGTCAAATTTACACCCATAAAACCATCGACTTGGATTTCTACGGGACAATGAAATTCTCAATTTCGCGTTAAAACCACAAAAACAAATATCCAATCCTTTTTGAGAACTTTCTGCTCTTTCCGACATAGCTACAATAGCTATGGAATTCAAGCTCAAAATCACAGAAGAAGAAGAAGTACAGAAAGGTTCACTTTTCTATTAATCTCAAATTAAGCTTTAGAAAATTACAGAAAGAAAGCAGCCTTTAGAATATTCATGAAGATGGATCTATGGATAATTAGGCTTTTTTACATTTGATAATGGAGAAAGGGAAGGAAGAAGTGGGGTATAAATGGGGCTCCAACGGTAATTAGTTCCGTTGAAGGGGAGTCTTTCTGTCTCACGCGCGACTTGGGCGACGAAGTTCACTCAATGTGACAGGTCAATATTTTGTGTTTAAATGACACATGAGATAAAAGATTAAATTGTCAAAATGGATCGAGTTGAGGTGTCAAAATAAAAACCGGGGCCAACTTAAAAGGGGTGCTTATGGGTTTGGCCTATTTTTAATAAGGTAGGCAAGTAGTATGGGACCGAGGCAAAATTGATATTCCATTTTTGACTGATGACATATCTTGAAAATTGAGAACTCCGTCACGACTCTACATGTTAGAAACATAAAGATGATTCTAACATTTAATTCAAGCAAAGTTAGAAGCATCTTTATGTTTGTTTTTATTACTCCATCATGACACTTTTAGATTTTCAACTTTTTAATTTTAATCAGATATTTGAATATAAAAATTTTAAATTTTTTAAATTAAAAATTATGTATTTGAAAATTACATAAAAAGTATTATAAATTATATTCCCTCCATTCCAATTTATGTGAACTTATTTGACTGGGCACAGAGTTTAAGAAAAAATATAGACTTTTGGAATTTGTGGTCCTAAACAAGTCAAAAAGAGGTCCAGAGTATTTGTGTGGTTACAAAAGCTTCTCATTAAGAGTGGAATTGTAAGTTTTAGCTAATTGTTACCAAATTTTAAAAAGGGGTCATTCTTTTTGAAACGGACCAAAAGGAAAATAGATTCACATAAACTGAAACAGAATAGTTAAAGAGTTAAAATATTAAAAAAAGCATATAAAAAATAATAATTCATTTTCTCAAAATCTGAATACCTTTACGTCAATGGAAACGAAAGGATACTTACTAGTAGGGGTGTGCATTCGATTTATCGATTCGATTTTGACCTTCATCGATAATTATTTATCGATTTGTACATATGCTTATCGTTATCGTTTCAATAAGGTTTCGATTTTTTCGTTTTCGATTTATCGATTTTTTGTGCTTATCGATTCAGTTATCGATTACACCAATAAGAAAATTTGCGGGATTCCATGGAAAGTATATCGCTATAAACACGGCTAACTAATATGGACAGAAAGAAGCTAAAATAAGACGAACACCGTTTATAACATAAAAATTGTGTCAACAAGCACATGCAACGAAACTAAAGTAAGAGATCAAATGTATGCCACCAACACTCCAACGGTATAAAAAAGAAATACATTATCACGGCTAATTCCGTTTTCCATTAATTTGAACTCCATTCCCTTGAGCTTTAAATATGATTATTTCTTAAATGTGGTAGAGGAATAATAGGGTTAGGGACTAAGGGTAAAGGGAAGGGTATTGTAGAATATAAGGGTTAAAAAAAATTAATTTTTTTTTATCTTTTTAGTATATCTTATCGGTTTATCGATAAACCGATAACTGAAGAGGACAAACCCGAAATTGAAATCGATAAGGAAAAATTCGAAATCGAAATCGATAAATCGATAAATCGATATCGATAAACCGATACAAATAATTGATTCGATTTATCAATAAATCGATTTGAATGTACACCCCTACTTACTAGGTACTACGTATCTTTTCTTTATTCTTATGTTTCCTACTGTACTAACAAAATCACAATCTTTCATCTAAGTATATTATACTAGGATTTTTTTAAGAGGGTTTTGCTTTTAGTTATAGATGAGAGAGTACAGAAAAAATATTACATTTCCAATCAATTTTACACACTATCACCGAGTTTTACTCACTATAATATCAAATAATAAAATTATTTTGTCATATCCAAATAATTGAATTATATGTGTATTTATTAAAAAGATACTCTCTCCATCGCAATTTATTTTAGAGTATTCTTTGACCGAAAATTTTTATATGCTTTTTAAGTATTCTAAATTATTAATTATTGTGACATATGCAATTTTAAGTAGTTTTTACATATATAAATTTTAATTAAAAAATTTAAGAATTTTATTTTTAAATACATTGTCAATATTAAAAAGTTTATATCTCAAAAAATAAAAAATATCATATTAATTGGGACAGAAAAATACGAAACGAGAAAGTCAACATTTGTTATCAAGTTATGACACATCACTTGTTATGCCACATTTTACCACTCTTTAAATTTCACGTCAGCAAATTAAATAAAAAACTTTCACCTTATAAAATTTTTTACCACCATTTGGTCTTGTAGCTGTAGTACTCGATGTTGCGTTAGAGTTTGATTTAACGAAATATCTTTACTTTCATCTAGGTAACTAGGTAAATTGGTTTTGGATATAAAAAACAATTATTCCGATCCAACGAAATTGTCAAAGAAAATGAAAATTTCTCTTACCTTTTTAATCATGTAAAAGGAACAGAGTGAAATGAATTATTTCAATTCATGTAGCTGTTATTCCTAACACTAATTGTTAAAAAAAAAAAAAAACATTATTTTGACTAGGTGCTCTTCAGGCTGGCAGCTTAGCGCATTATTTTGACTCCAAAGCACCTAACAAAGAATTGGTGCTGTCCTAATTAATAACCACAGAAACATAGTACATGGGATTAGTCGCTTCAATTGCACTTTTTTAACACTTTCGGAGAAGAAATTACCAAACGTTTAGCATTCCCTCACGCTTGGCGATAATGATAATTTTTTGAGAGAAAAAAGAAAATTATGCATTCACCATGTGAATACTATGTAATTGGGCTGGATCAAGATAAGTTAAAATTTAAGTCATAGCACAACTCGACGGACTTTTACCAAGCTTTTAATAATGTGTGTTATTTTCTTATGAATTATTTAATTATTAAATAAGATATTTTGTTTGTGTTATGGTCATATTTAATATATCAAACAAAAAAAATTATTTTTAAAATATTTTAGCAAAGTTATTCTTGAATCAATTTAGACTAAAAATTAGCTCAACTCTAGATGGGACACAAAATCCTAAATAGTACAACTGCGAGGAATATTCACTGAAATATTCTCTAGGGATCCCTCAACACAGAACTAGCCGTTACTACTCTAATAGAAGGAATACTTGTCCTGGTCCTGGTCCTCATTCTCCGTTGACCCATCTCGACCTCGACGACGATATGTTGTTTTCTCATGACCTCGACCTTTTGCAACCAAATCATTATATCCTGTTGACGACACGTGGTAGCCTTTGAAGGATTTCTTAATATCGACTTGGTCCACATATAATTATGGTAATATTTAGCCCATATAGTTAGTCCCTCCGCTTGTTGAGGCCATCCTCGTGGGCGAGTTCAATGAGCGGATAACAACGGTCGTTGTCTTTGTGAAAAACAGGCGACGTGGTGTTCGTGAACCGCATATCTCAAATCTTAAAATTTTTGGGTGATTCAGTGGAACCATCTTGTCAAAGAGAAGATGTGATGTCATGACGTCATTCATCACGATGACGCCGGTTTCCGACGTGTCGTGTCGATTCACACGCCGCCCATGATTGGCTCTGCCGTTCCGATTCTAGTGACAACTATGGTTAATAGTTTCGAGTTCGATGCCCTCTTCTCTATAAAAGGGGGTGGCTTCACCATAATTCAAACTTTATATTCTCTAAACTTTTCCTTTGAATTTCCTTCTTTTGCTTCATAACAGTTCTTTATATTTACTGCTTTTACTCTCTTCATTTTTCTCAGCTTCTATAACCATGTCGAACCTTCCTTCTGATGTAAATGAGGAGAACCATTCCATTCCTTTGGTTGTTGTATTTCCCCTTCATGGGGAAGATGCCGTCGCCGGTGCTTAGGAGGAGGCTCTCCCTTTAGTGGAGGAGATCATCCCCCGTTATCCTGATGCCAAACTTGATCTCCAACGGCCGCCAGAAGTGATGACCGAGAAATTCCAATCCACGGTGACAGCCAAGCGCATGGCTGAGTTTAAAACCAAATTTGTCCTTCCCGACCACGTGGAGCTAGTTCCCATGTTAGTGATGAAGTACACATCCACTGTCCTGGGTACTGTGCTCTCTATGCCTACCCATTCGCCAGCGATTATTTATTCCCCCTTCTTCTGCTGGTGGAGGAATATTGTTTCCATTACAATGTTTGTACTGCTAAGCTCACCCCCTATGTTTACAAAGTGATTAAGACATTGAATTTTTCCGAACTAGCCAAGGTCGAGGTCACGGTGCATCACTTGGTGCATCTTTTTGTACCCTATTTTTATCGAGGAATGATGTTGAATCTTCAACACCATGGGGGCAAATATTTGGTACTAAAAATGGACGATAAAGGTAGCCGACAGTTCTGGCTCGATTATTTCTTCATCAGGATCGAGCCCGTTGTAGCTGATGTTACTGATTTCCCCAAAGCCTGGAACCATATTCGTAAGTACAAATGTTTTTGCCTTTACCCTTTCAGATATTTTATTCATTCCAAGCTGGTCGTGTGATCCTTCTTTTCCTGCAGCCACTGGTCGAACTCTTCAATTAGTGACTTATCTCACCAATTGGGTCAGGTAGGTTCTAACCAACCCTCCATTCGATAGGTGATTTTCTTCTTCTGGTCGTCATCATACTCATATTGGTTTACGTCGTCATGCTTAATTTTTGTGTTTTCTTTAGGCTCCATCGGGGGGACTATAAGAAGGAACATGGTGCATGTTCCCTTGTTCAGGAGGAGAAGGGGCGCTACGCCTTCCGCCTCCACCTCCTCCCCTGTCTTAGCTACTACGCCTGCTCCTCCCTCGCTTTCACTCATCGACAGAGATGATTAGGTCTCTCGACGTGACGTGGACCTAAGGTCCCACAAAAGGAAGGTTGTGGATGTAGGAGTAGGAGTAACCTAGGTCGTCGACTCATTAGGGGATGAGTTCGTGGTACACGATACATCGACGATACATATTAGGGATGGTGTTGGGGCAATCTTTGAAACCCCTCAGTTTGAAGAGACCAATGTGGGCATGCTTTCACGTCCCGATGAGGAGATGGACGCAGAAGGGACATTTGGTGATAGCT